GTTGGCATGAGCAACCTTTGGCTGCAAAGATTCAACAGGAACAGAGTCTGCATCATTTGCCTCCTAGGCTTCTTTTACCTTTAAGGTAAAAGTCACTGAGATCAAATGAGATAAAGATGTGGTGATATTTTGCTTGTACAAATAAAGCTTGTCTAAAGATCAGAGTTGCTAACCACAGAGTTCTGGAGTTCTGTACAGACAGACAGGAAAGTGAGGTGGCTGGGTGGAGACAGGATATAAGTGGGAAGAAACAAATTTAAATTTTAAAAAAAGTTTTAAAAAGTGGGAAGAAACAAGAACTTTCCTCTGAGACACTAATGAGGTAAAGGTGGCCTTGGCTTGCGCCTTCTTTTCTCTGATCTCTCAGCAGTTCCCTCCGTATCTGACTCCAGGTTTTTACTGTTTAGGCCAATTAAGAACCCCATCCACACAAAGAAGCAATGCTTTTGCTACTATGCACTAATAATATAATAACACTGGTGGACTTACAGGACGAGAAGAGGTGGTCAGTACTTAAGAGCACTTGCTCCTTACCGTTTTTGATTTCCCCACACACTGCAGTGCACAGTCATCTGTAACTCCAGTTCCAGGGGACCTAATACCTCTTCTGGCCTCCAGGAGCACTGTATGCACAAAGTGCACAGACACGCATGCAGGTTAAACGTCTTTACACATGAAATGAAAAACTCCTTACGTGGAGTTGCAATATGGCTTATTAACCAACACTAGAGTTTATCTGATGCAAATAACTGCTAATCAATATAACTGTTTAACTATATAACTTTTGAATAATGGCTATAATGTATGGAGATTCAGCTATAACCTAAGTATGCAATAGTGTAAGCATTGTTTGCAACAGTGACAAGATTCAGAAACAAATGTAACAGCAGGCTGATAAAAACAGATGTGTATTGTATGGTGAAATAAAACAGAGTCCACAGAAATTATAAAAGTATTGCTAAGGGGCTGGAGAGATGGCTCAGAGGTTGAGAGCACTGGCTGCTCTTCTGGAGGTCCTGAGTTCAATTCCCAGAAACCACATGGTGGTTTACAACCATCTGTAATGAGATCTGGTGCCCTTTCCTGGTGTGCAGGTGTACATGCATAATAAATTTAAACAAAAAGTATTGTTTAAAAAATCAGATTATAAAATAATGTACATTAGCTGAGTACAGTGGCTCACATCTGTAATGCTAGCACTTAGGAGGTAGGAGCACCAGGAGATTAAGATCGTGTTCAGCTACAGTGAATTTAAGGCCAGCCCCAGCTAAATAAAATTCTGCCTTTAAAAAAAGGACCCTATTCATAAATGTATACATATAAACACATATAAATGATACATGGAAATATATATGTGTGATGTGTACATCTGTGTGTATATATTACCAATACTATATATCAGTTTTAGTGGTATCTGTAGAAGCCAGAATAATGAATGGCTTTAATTTTGGGATCTACAATCCCAGTAGTTTCTACAATTAATGCATTGATTTTATAATTGAAAAAAGAAAATTTGGAAATAAAACAATTGCTGTCCATGCATGTCACTGAATTTTAAAGGTGAATTGTGTGTTTGCTTGCTTTAAAGTTTTGTTATGTATTGACTCACAATCCTACTGTTTCAGATGCCCAAGTAATGAGGATACAGACATGGGCACCACTCCAGGTTTTTAAATATAGGTTTAATTTTGTTTCTGTAGATTTTTATATAGACTGTTCACATGAAAACCTTCAGCAGAAGGCTGATCATGATATTCACTTCAGTAGCTCATCTCAACCCAAAACACTAAGGAAAATATTAAATGTGGGCAAAGAATATGAATTTAAGCCTAAGGGAATTTCAATGCCAACTCTTATTTTCTGGTTGTATTAAATGATTTATAAAGCCTTTAAAAGCTTCAATTTGCTCACTTCTAAAGTTACACATGCAGTTATTGTGAGAATGAAACTATGTACATAAAGCCCTTCAAAGACTTGTCATGCGCTGGCCACAAACGCTTGTGCACACACTGACCATTATTAGCAGAAACAGCATTTCGGTGAATCGAGAAACTAACTAACAAAGAGTTTTAAAACCACAGTACTCACACTGCCAACTGGAGTACACTCTAACATTTGCTCAACTGCCAAATAACCTTCGAGATCCATGGCACCCTTTGAAGTACCACAATCCTCTTCCATTCTAATGTGTGGAGAAAGCCTACATAACTCAACTCCTACTCTCCCACAGACCAGCAGGCTTTCTTTATTTCTACCCACCCTTTAGAATCCATCTTATGTGAAGGCTATTATAAGCTACAGTGATTACTTCTAAATCTGGGAATTCATGACCGCCTTGAAATTTCCCAGCAAACTGTTGCTTAGCACATCTCCATAACACCAGAATGCAATACTAACTTCTGGTTTCAATGATTATAACATCATAGAGATGGTGGAGCCAGTGTAGTGGGAAATGCATGTTACCCTGGCAAGGAGACTGAGAAAGAAGCATCCATCAATCCATCCATCCATCCATCCATCCATCCATCCATCCATCCATCCATCTATAGCAAGATTCTGGGCTTTTTGGTTTGTTGACTATGAAGTCTTCAAAACTGCCTTCTGTTAGTCATTAATGTGAATAAGGTACAAGTATACATAATATTTAGTAGCATTGGATACCTAGTCCAACTAAATCAAAACTCAAATGTCCCATTTTTAAGTACAACTACTGGAAGAAAGCCTGGTTTTCCTATTATTCCTAGGAAACTCTTAATTTTCCAAGAGTAGTTCTTGGACATTGATGATTCCACACCAGATATTTATAGTCTGGCAAGTATCTTTACATTTACCAGCTGCCAGCTTCTGCTCAGAACTACACTATAAATTGGGCAATTCTGTCCTGAAAAGCAATTTATCTACTACAGCTGGGAAAACATGCTTCTCACCTTTTTTTATATACAGTTTCTCCATTAAGAAGAGGAACTTGGCCCTTCAAATGAGGTTCAACATATTTTAGTGGTAAGAACTAGATTGGCTATGATGGTTACCATACAACCTAAATTCCAGAAAAGATTATTTGAAGATTAGAAAAATGGGACAGCACATACATCAAGCAAGTCTGAGAGCCCTAAGAAGCTGATCCCAAACAAGCTTCTCAGATATGTATAAAGGCTTCCCTAAAAAGCTTTCAGTAAAACTGGCATTTCATGTGGATAACCCACATTTGTCTACAGTTAATCCTGAGGCAGGTGACAAGTACCCTAGTATGCAAACACAAAAGCATCACAAAGAACTTACAAGAATGACTAGAGGAAGTTTAAATGCCAAGGATGGTAACAAAGTATAGAATGCTAATACACTACTCATGGGTCTGTCCCTGACAACAGAAACAAAGAAAATGAAGTATGACTTAGCAATCACCAGCCTGTAATGTTCTGTATACACACTGGCAGCATTTGGAAGTAATGACAGTGCAGGATAATTGAAGACAATCACTAGCTATAGTCTAAAATTTTCAGACAAATATAAGCTGTACAACATTCTTGAGGTTTGGCAGTTTCATGCCTTGTGCTGCTATAAAACATTCAAATAGGATAAAATGTTCATTAGTACATTTTTTCTAATTAACTTTTTAAAAGGCCTTAATACTGGGCTTTTCTAGTGATGTCAACAAAAGGGTTTATTAAGAGGGGTTGCTTTCAAGAGACTGACTGCTGGAATGTAGTAAAAGTGATCAAACTGATGTGCTTCAAAAATATACTACCCTGTACTCTTATGTCATAAAATACAAAATTTCTCTTTTTGGTCTTTTTGGAGAAGCTGAAAGAGAGTATGCAGTAAAGCTATATTAAAGCTAGAAACTCAGAGATTCTCATTCTCTCTCCTCTCTCTGTCTCTGTCTCTGTCTCTGTCTCTGTCTCTGTCTCTCTCTCTCTCTCTCTCTCTCTCACACACACACACACACACACACACACACACACACACACACACACACACACACACTTCACACTGTAGCTCAAACCAACCCAAAACTTACTATGTACCCCAGACTGGTCTCAAACTCACAGCCATGCACCTGCTGCAGTCTCTTGAGAGTTATAGAGACGTACTGCCTACCCAACAGTCTTTTTCCTGTAAAAGTCAGTTACACTGCTTCTTTGGTATGTTGTTAGATTCAAAGTTTAAGGGCAAACTGTTCTTAGATTTTAGTTGTGAAGTGACAAACATGTGTAGGTACTTTTTATTCATAGTGGAAGTGAAAGGCACAAAGCTGTTTCTGGGATTTGAATGAAATATCATTAAAACAACCTATGGGGGCTGGAGTGATGGCTCAGCAGTTAGGAGCACTTGCTGCTCTTGAAGGACTTGAGCTTGGTTCCTAGCATCCATATGGTGGCTCACAACATCTGTTATTTCAGTTCCAAGGAATTCAAAACCTTCTTCTGGTGTTCCAAGGTACCAGGCACACACAATATAAAACTAAATCAATCCACCTTTAAAAAACTATACTAAACTCTATCTTATGCACTAAGTAACATGCCTCTCCTCTCCTCAAGCTTGCTAACTTCTAAGTTAGTGTTTACTTTTCTAAATAATGCCTCATTTTGCTGTGTTTCTTAACCGTACTGTTCCATTGCATCTTCCAGTTCACATCCAAGCATCTTCGTAGACTGTCCTTACCCACAGTGCATGCCTCAAATACGGCCTCCCAGTGCCAGGGATACTATCACAGCATCAGTCTCACTGCAATCATATGCTAGACACAGAGCACCTAGTACAGAAGTGCATCACCTCCACCTGCACAATTAACACCTAAAGCATACTCAGACACCTGCTGGATGTCAAGCAAGCAAATGGATCATAAGGCCCAACAAGAAAACAGATGACCACTATTGTAAGTCTTTCAAATTTAGGACTACCTTCCAAAGAAATTGCTAGTTTTACAGTGCTCCCCGGAGTCATTTTAATCCCAAACAGAACTGTTAGAGGTAGGGCCTTGAAGAGTCATAAAAGCGCTGCCCTCATAAACGGATTTGTGCAATTATTTTAAGATTATATTAAGAAAGGGAGCATAGGGCTCTGCCCCATGACATACAGTCCCTTTCCACAATGTTGGAGATGAAGCTGGGCTACCAGTCTGCCTGCATATTCCTACAACTTCTCAGAATTCCGTGGACCGTGACTGAGGAGACAAACCATGCAGGAAACAGTCCTAAATCACGAAATCTGGGAGTCTTCGTGTTTGGGGAATTGCTTTAGAGTTTTACTAACTGAAGAATGTCGTTCCCTGCAGAACTGATCAGTGGCTACAAGTAACCGGTTCATTGAGGACAGAAGAGGATCTGCACAGCTACCTGCTGAAGGTTAACTTTGGGGTCTTGCAACTCAACCCAGAACCTTGTCAGTGCTGGAAAAGCACTTCAGCCTAGCTGTTCTCAGTCTGGTAAATATATATATTTTTAGACCTTATTGATGTCTAGAATTTTGAGGTTCCTGTGGTGTGAAAGTAATTATCTAGGATGTTCAAGGCCAGACTGGGTTACAGAACTTGTTTCTATCCCATAAATGTGATATACATGACAAAACCAATGTTAATGTTTGTGAATTAAAGGAAAATTTTTGACTTAAAAAAGATTATATTAAGCTGTAACTGTAGTAAATCTACTCCTTTTAATTCTAGCACATGGGAGGCAAAAGACAGGCAGATAGATCTCTGTGAGTTTGAGGCCAGCCTGGTCTACAGAGGGAGTTCCAGGATAACTAAAACTACACAAAGCAGCGAGAGGGTGTGTGTGTGTGTGGAAGGGGGAGAGAGAGAGAGAGAGAGAGAGAGAGAGAGAGAGAGAGAGAGAGAGAGAGAGAGAGAGAGAGAGAGCACTACCCTCTCTAATAACTTTGCTCTTGTGCTACAAGATGACACAGCAAGGCCTCCACTAGATAAGTGTGGGTCACTTGATTCTTGTCTTCTCAACCTTCAGCTGTTCTTTGTAAATTACCCAACATCAAATATTCTATTATAGCAGCACAAAATAAATGGAACAAAAATAAGCAACTTTATAATTAAATGTCAGTGGTAAATTCTATTTACACAGAACCTTTGCCACAGGCACAGAATATAGAGTATTCTATGTAACGTGTATTCTTTCCCGCCAGCTGCCTGGGTCCTGCTGCTTTCTCTGCCCCCAAATAACACACGAGACACTATATTAAATATGAAGCTGTTGGCCGTTTGCTATGATTTCTTATTGGCTAGCTCTGACTTATTAACCCATAATTACTAATACATATTTTTATAAGGTATTATCTTACAGAGGATGAGCATCATGTATCCTCTCTTACCGGGATCACATGGTGATTCTCTACTCTTGACTACATTTCTTAGAATCCTCAACTCCTAGCCCCACCTATCTTGCTTCCCTATTGGCTAACAGTGGTTTATTAACCAAGAGGACAACATATACACAGAAAGACTCTACTAAAAGCACAATCAATGAGGCTTTAAAACTAAATATCTAGTGGCTGGAGAAATGACTCAGCAGTTAAGAGCTATGAATAACCTAGAAGACCTGGGTTCAGTTCCCAGGACCCACATGGTGGCTCACAACTGCCTAACTCCATTTCCAGGAAATTCAATGCCTTTTTCTGCCCTTTGCAGGCACTAGGCATGCATGTGGCGTGTGTGTGTGTGTGTGTGTGTGTGTGTGTGTGTGTGTGTGTGTACAAAACATAAAATAAAAATAGATCCATGTATCTAATAGGCATGTAGAATTGACTCAACTGAGGGAAGGAGGCAGGAGAATAGAAAATTCACCATGTAACAGTGCCTGAGATTTACTTGCTGCTTGGGAGCACTCAATCTTTGCACAATTAGGCATGCCACAAAGGATCAAACTAAATATTTCAACTGAGTGATAAAAGTTTTATCAAATGAAGTGTGGAAATTGAGTTGAATTAATGAAATGTATCTTGACATGAGTAGCTGGTCACACTTATTCTGATTCCCAACAAAAGGAGGGGAACACACTCAATGCTCCCAACATTCCAACAATCGAAAACCACTCTCCTAGCTGCACTTGGCCATTACAGTTTGATGCCTAAAACAAGGCAGGCACTATCCAGAAAGTGTTGAAGTATCATGTTCACGCCCTTTAAGAATTTTATTTTCATTCTGGCTTCCCATTTGTAGCAGCTATCAGCTGGCATAGTATCCAAATCATAATCCAAATGCTCGAAGCAATTCACATGCATCTCTAAGCAACAGCTGTGTAATCTTTATAGTATGCCTAAAAATATAGTTTAAAACATTAAATGAGTTTCATCTAACATTCAGAAATATGACTGAACAGAATACAGTCAATTCAATTCATGTTAACAGAGTCATTTAGCAGAAGGCAAAACTCAAAATGATGAGTAATCCAATTCATAAAAAGTGAAATGTTTATAGGCTGTATTTTTATTCAGAAGTGTCCCTTTTCCTGCAATACCCATAACGTAAGGGTTTAGTTTGGCTTTATCCTGGTGCTGGGGACAACCTAAGGCCCCACCCTTGCATGCACACTAACTTCCCATTTGACTACTGAGCTTTGCACGAACTTCAAACAGTCTTACTTCTTCCTTACTACTGCGGAGGTTACTTTTGTGTAAAAGTTTAGAAAGTAGAGTTCCTGGCTATCTTGACTTAATTTTGTACCCTCTCAACTTCTGTTGTTGAAAAGGACTCTGAAGCTCACAAGTCTTTTCTTGGCTGACCACATTAGCCACTAAAGCTGAAAAAGTTCATATCCTTTAACACTGTCCTTGAGAGCTCACCTACTGAGATAAACAGCGATGCTAAACACAATGCATACCTCATAAAAGCCCAATGTCCAGATACCCACCCACCCAAATATCTGCTGGGCAAACTCACATGACTGACTCTTCTATCAGCTGAACCTGGCATTTGCTCAGCAATCAGGCTCATGTTGAGTTTGGCCTTCTCTGGTCTTTAAGCTAATGACCTCTAAAGAAAATGGTCCCTGAAATGCACAAGGCATCTTACTGGACCAGGAAAGTCACAGCAAAACTTACAAGGTGTGTATGTAAATGTATATGACTAGCTCCAAAACATGCACCACCCCCCAGTTTAGCTATATTCAAACAGCACTCAAATTATGCAACAAAAACAAAAAATTACGAATATTTACAAAATTTCCAAAGTAAGGTAACTATAGTGTGGGTATGTAGAGGAGGATTCATGTTGTTTACACTTGTAAGAACACATGAGCCTAATTTTGTTTGCTTTCTAAAGCAGGGATACAAATATAGTTCAACTGGTAGTGTTTGCCTAGCATCCAGGAGCACCAGGTTCAATCAACTGAGCATGGTAACACACACCTATAATCTCAAAGCACAGGAAATAGGCAGCAAGATAATAAGTTCAAGGTCATCCTCAGCTACACAGAGAGTTTGAGACCAGCCTGGGTGCAAGAGAACTTCCAGCACAAAAAGGGGGGTGGGAAGGTGTGTGTTAGTAAAGACGAATTTACGACTGTGAAGATCTATCAATTTCTCTATAATCTTATTTATAAATATCCCTAAAGATGTACAATGTTTCAAAAACAGTAAATTAAGACCATAACAAAGACATCACACACCGATAAAAATGAGAACATAATCTACTCATCACAAACACAATCACTCTAAAAAAAAAGCCATAATATATATGACTAACACAATTGTCAAAAAAAACAATTACCTCTAAATATAATCTGCTCAAAATTGATAGCTCAAGCATATAAATTAAAAGCAAAAGTATCATGTCCTGATCAATAATATTAAAGACTCAAAAACAGAGATCTAGCCAGGCAAGGAGGCTCATATCCGAAATTTCAATACTTAAGAGGCTGAGGCAAGAGGACTCAATGCTAGCCTAAACTACATGGTAATTTCAAAGACAGCTAGGGATACAGAATGAAACACTTTCTTACCTTAAAAAGAGAGAGAGAATATGAACAACACTTTGAATCTCCTAACTCTGAGAGTTCCAAGCTAGTCAGGTATGTAGAGCGAGGCTCTGTCTCAAAGAAGAAAAACCAAAAAAGGAGGAGACAGACACACGCACACATAGATAAAAGTTAGGAACACATTTCTAGCATACCCCAAAGATCTATCTGTGTTATCAAAACCATATGTTAAACCTCACAAATTCCTTAGGGTCTCTAACAGATTTTATTTTGGTATAGGAAATACAATAGAGCAAATTTTAATTCTAAAATTTGTAAACAAGAAAATATAATTACACAACCCTTAGAATTACGTTACTCTTTGTTTAAAACGAAAACTAATAAAAATTAAGAAACATTTAGTAATCTATGTTAAGAGATATCATACAGCTTTAAGAATCACAAAAAAAGTTGGGTGAAGTGACGCATGCCTTTAACCGAACTCTTGGGGAAGCAGAGGCAGGTAGATCTCTATGAGTTCAAGGACAGTCTATGTAGAAAACTCCAGGACATCTGGAGCTACATACATAGAGCGATCTCATCTCAATAAAAACTAAAGAATCACAAAATAGGATTGGTTAAAGCAAAAATTTTAAAAATAAATAAAACAAAATTTAAAAAGGAAAGACAAACACAAAGGAAAGATGTAAAGGGAAGCTTTTTCCTTGAGAGAAGCCTTCCCGCTAGCCTGGTTCTAGAGCCGCATCAGTCCCAAATAAACATACAGGAGGCTATATTAATTATGAAGCTGTTGGCCTTGCTTGTTTCTTACTGGCTAGCTCTGACTTAAGTAATTACCCCATAATTGTTAATCTAAGTATTTCTCTTACCGGAGAATAGTTCTGGGCTTCCTACCCCATGTTGTTACATCTTGACTCTCTTGTTTCTCCTTCCCAGAGTCCTCCTGGACTCCTAGTCCCACCTATCTAGATTCCTATTGGCCCAACAGTGCTTTATTGACATAAGACTTCCCCAACATCACAGAAAGAAATAATAAAGAACAGAAATGTACACCAAAGAACAAGTAGAGGGTTAATAAAAAAACAAAAGCTGCTTCTTAGAGAACAGTAATAACTTAGATAAAACTTCAGAAAGATTTATGAAGATAAAAAAAGACCAAAAAGAAGGGGAGTGACTTAGTGTTTTAATAAATACTGGTGATTTTTGTTTTTCAATTAAGATTTATTTTATCCATAGAAGTGTTTTGCCTGAATGTATGTATATGCTCCAT